CTCTGTGATTATTACTTTGCTATGTGTTTATTAGTCAAAACTTTGTGTTAATAGTTGATTAACAGTGACATTATAAACAGTTAAACATTTTTAAGTTCACGGATAAGGAGATACCATAGAGGAGAACCAGAGTAGTTTGAAGAGATAGAATCTTCGCTGTTGTGTGAAGCGGTTCCGCCGCCAACAATGGCTACGCCGTCGTCCTCTGACAGCATAACGGTTATAATGGACACTTTAGGACCAAACGAGGTGAGATAAAACGCATGGGAGTAGGTCATCGGAAGGAAAATATCAATCACAACTAATGAAAGGGACCCGAGAAAACAACTTAAAAAGGTGAGTGAGGTTACTATCACTCAAAACAGTTTCGAAGTTCTAAGCAACGTTGGACAAGAATCAGAACCTAAAATAACACAACCTGCTCGTATAGTTCCTCCTCCCATACATTTAAACGATGTTCAAAATTACTCAGAGCTGGTTTCATACCTCCAAAATGTAGGCGGTGTCAATAGTTTTAAGCTAAAGACAACAACAAAAGGCGTCAATGTATACCCCGATAATGCAGATATATATCGTACACTCGTGGCTAGTTTAAGGCAGGGTGGTGCTGATTTTCATACATACCAACTACCAGAAGATCGAAGCCCCAGAGTAGTATTAAAAATTCTTCACCATGCAACACCAGTAGAGACAATTAAATATGAGCTAAGATGTCTTGGTTATGAAGCCACTAACGTTGTGAACGTAATATCACGTTTTAAGAAGCCATTACCCATGTTCTTCATAGATATATCAAAGGCAACCTTCAATGAAAAAAATTTCGATTTAGAATTTCTATACTATACGAAAGTGACAATTGAAGAACCCAGAAAGAAGAGAATAATCCCACAATGTATCAGATGCCAGCAGTGCGGACATACTAAAACGTACTGCAATCACGCTCCGAAATGCGTGAGATGTGGCCTAGGCCATGACAGTACTACTTGCACCAAACCAAGAGAAACAGCCGCGAAGTGTGCCAATTGCGGAGGGTCACACCCAGCAAATTACAGGGGTTGTAAAACGTTAAAAGAACTAAGGGAAGCCAGAAATCCCAGGAAAACATCGAAAAACCCTGACAAAACACAAATTAGCGTACCTCCAGCAATCCATGAGTTTCCGCCTCTACCTGAACTTCAGCAGTCTCACTCAGCTTCCTTCACATCAAATTCGCAGCATCCGAAGAGACAACCTCCACGAACAGTACCTGAAGCAGTACCAGGTCACCAACAGCAGGGATTTTCAGGCATGAGAAAGGGAAAACCTCTGGCTGACATTCATCCAGCATCGGCTCAGCTACTCAACTTATTAAGTGGGTTAAATAATCTCATCCAGCCCCTTTTCAGTCTCCTCCAAGAACTTTCACATGTCACCCAGGCCTTATTCACTGACTATGGCAACTAATCAGCTGACTGTGGGCTCCGTGTCCGTTCTTCTTTGGAACGCAAACGGGGTTAATCAACATGAGACTGAACTTGACATTTACTTCCAGGAAAAAGGGACTGACATTGCCCTTATCACTGAAACACACTTAACTCCATGTACTAAATTTTACATTCCCGGTTACAGAATATACAGAACTGATCACCCAGACAATATAGCTCACGGCGGCACAGAAATACTAATTAAAACATCACTAAAGCACCACTCACTACATTTACCCATTACACCTGATATACAATCTACAGCCATTACACTATATACCCAAAACCAAACCATTATCTTTGCTGCAGTGTACTGTCCTCCGAGGTACGTGCTCACACCTGCGATGTTTTGCAATTTCTTCAGTCGTCTGGGGAGGTGTTTTATTGCTGGTGGCGATTACAATGCCAAACACCAGTCCTGGGGATCACGACTTTGTACTCCTAGAGGAAGAAACCTAAAATCTGCCATCCATCAGCTTTCATTAGACACGATCTCACCTGATACACCTACTTACTGGCCAACTTCAAGACAGAAAACACCAGACCTACTGGATTTTTTCGTCACTAAAGGACTAAGGACTGTACCATACACTATAAACGCAAGCTGCGATCTTTGTTCTGATCATTCTCTTCTCAGCTTAGTACTGTATGATGAGCCATGTACTACAATGAAACGACCATCTCTCGTAGGAGGAATTATCGATTGGGATGGATATCAAGAAAAGCTAAACGAAATGCTCTCTATTCCAATGTCTCTAAGGAACGAATATGAAGTTGAAGAAGCTGTGGATAAATTCACAAACAGCATTCAACAAGCTATATTGTCTTCTTCTGTCCCAAGGTCCAACCGAAATGAGTGGCTTCCAACATATCCTCAGTACATAAGAGATTTGATCAGGGCAAAGAGAAGAGCTCGCAAAGTATGGCAAACTGGTCGACTGCCATCTGACAAACGGACATTCAATAGACTTAACAATGAACTAAAACGACATATTCAAAGTTATAAAACTACAATTTACGACAACTACATCAGAAATCTCTCTACTGACGATGGGAGCTTATGGAGGCATACAAAAAAACTTGTAAATCATCGTGAAGTGTCTGCACCTCTCCGAAACGAGGATGGTTCCTGGGCCGTGTCAGATATAGAAAAATCGGAGCTATTCGCTATCCATCTTTCTTCTGTTTTTACTCCACATACTGACTTCAACAACATTGAACACGAAGAAAAAGTACTAAACACTTTAGACATTCCACTACAATTAGAATTACCTCCACCTTGTTTCACTCCGAAACTTGTTGCAGAACAAATTAGACAATTACCTAAAAAGAAAGCCCCTGGTCATGACCTGATAACTGCTCAAGTGCTCCAGAAAATGCCTAGAAAAGCTCTAGTTTACTTAACATCTATTTACAATGCAATACTCAGAACGACCAAATTTCCTGTACAATGGAAATACTCACACATTACAATGATCCACAAACCAAACAAAGACAAATACACCCCTTCATCATACAGGCCAATTAGTCTACTCCCAATATGTTCCAAAATCTTTGAAAAACTACTATACAAAAGACTTATGAACATATTGACGGACGGAAAAATAATACCCGACCATCAATTTGGATTCCGACGACAGCATTCAACCATCCATCAATTACACAGGGTGACTGACTACATTGCAACTGCACTGGAGCAAAAATTGTATGCAACTGGAGTATTTCTGGATGTCGCTCAAGCATTCGATAGAGTATGGCATAAGGGTCTTCTCTTCAAACTTAAGACGATACTCCCTCCTACCTATTATCTTATACTTCAATCCTTTCTTTCTGACAGATTTTACTTTCTTCAATAAGACCAGCCTTAGCAGGAGTTCCTCAGGGGTCAGTACTAGCTCCGCTTTTATACATTATATTCACACACGACTTCCCTAACAGCGCCAGAACTATTATAGCGACTTACGCAGACGATACAGCTATTCTAACAAGACATAAAAACCCAACACACGCCACACAGAATTTACAACATCATCTAACAAAACTAAACGACTGGTGCAAACTCTGGAAAATTCGACTCAACCAAGACAAATCACAACACATCACTTTTACTCTTCGACATGGAACATGCCCTCCTATTTACCTTGACAATGCCGAAATTCCTCAAACAGATAAAATACAATATCTTGGACTGACATTCGACAGAAGAATGACATGGGGTCCACATATCAACAAAAAAAGAAAAACTTTAAACCTCAGACTACGACTGTTATACTCACTTCTCTCAAGACGCTCAAAATTAAACCTAAAACAAAAACTGAACACTTACAATTATCTACTTAAGCCCATATGGACCTACGCTTCACAAATTTACGGAACAGCCAAAACGACACACATACGAAAACTACAAACTTTTCAGTCTAAAACTTTCAGAACCATAACCAAAGCTCCATGGTACGTCACAAACATTACACTACATAAAGACCTTCAAATGCCAACAGTTAACGATCACATACGGACACACTACAAGCGATTTCACAATAACTTACATGGACATACTAACACACTTATACAAAGTATGGCTACATTTAACATGCCCGAAAACACACTTAGGAGGCTCAAAAGGAGCTGGATGAGGGATTTCCTCACTTAAAAATATGCTAAAATCAAGACAGAAAGAGATGCCGCTGGGTACTCCTCTCCATCACGCCGATCAAGCCACTACCTGTACACTTACCGACAGCAGACCCGCTAATTGTCATTGCTTATGACAGGTGTGGGTGAATAAATAAAGTTAATAAAAAAAAAAAACCTATGATATAAAAATGTCAAATTTACAAACATTCTTAGAAAGAAAACGCGCTTCTTAAATTTTGGATTAAATAGTGTTTTTAAAAAAATAGTTCTGTAATTTCACATTATGTTTTATATTTCTTTCAAATATTAAAAAAAAATTGTAGTAATTTTCCTTTCTGAAAAAAAAAACACATAAACTTCTAAAACTACGTTTTATTTGTTTTAAAATTAACAAAATAGTAAATGAATCTTTTTCCCCATTTTTTAAATTTATTAATATTAATAAATTACTTGTTTATATCTTAAAGTATTGATTTCATGTAGAAAGGTAAATAATAATCTTAAAATGTCCAGAAACAAGCGCCGGAGGGGTATTATCGGTCTAGTGGTTACGTTAGAGCTCGATTCCTCCCCACCATTTTTCCTCTGAGTGAGCGAACCTGGTAGTTTTATTGACCTTGGGATCTAGTGATTAATGAGTGAATGGAAAAATAAGGAGTGAAAAAAATCAATAATGTTTATTAGTTGAATTTATTAATTCATTAGTTCTTCAATGTCATCCCATGCCATTCTACAGTTCACCGTATAAATAAATATGTTCAATGTTTATTTTACAACACATAATATTTATAATTAATGAACCACTGTTGGTTATTGAAGATATAAAAAATACATTGAAATAAGAAATACTATATTTTCGTGACGGTTAGGATTTTGGGTTCAAGTCATAGGCTTGAAAGCTTCTTTCCTCTTTGCTCAAGGTCCTTTTGACATTCCTTGTTTCCAACGGTATTTTGGATAAATATGTAAATAGTAAACAGAGTAGGTCAGTAGTCAGAAATTTTAATTGTAATAGTGATGTTTAATTTGAGAATATTGAAATTATTTTTTGTTTTGGTGTTATTTGGTATTGCATTAGTGATCGTCTTCTTATTATTTTTTCTCGATAACAGTACACATTTGCGAGGTACGTTTCATATTCAGTACAGGAGGAAATTGTTTTAGTTATAGAACGTAATTATCTAATGAATTTTGTTTTGCTATATTTCCTTGTTTATATCAGAAGTACTTGTGGAAATCTAGCGAACTAAAACAAGAGCAAATACTTAATATTCAAATAATTATTTACATATAATTAGAATGAATTTGATGTGTAAACTTAAGGATTAATTAATTAAATCCAAGTAACATTAATTTATTGATGGTTACTTTTGAATAGAGAGCAAGTTCCTAAACTCATCGCTGAGATCATTGATGAGCATCGGAAATCATTCCTATACTCACCAATGTAACATAATTTAAAACTACATGTCCTAGAATTAGTTCTATTCAATCAAAAGGAAAAATACATATATATTTTACTTTTATTTTTTTGTAGGTAGAGTGTGAATATGATCTTACCTCACTATAACCAATGTCCAAGTGACAGAATGTTGTAATATTCAATAAATAAATAAGAAATTAATATTTAAACCTGATAGAGTAGTCAAAAATTGATGCCCCAGTAGTTTTCTTGAGGCCAAAAACTGTAGAGCTGCATGCAGAAGATAGACAGTGGTAGAGAAGTCTGGTTTAGCTGGCCAAAGATGTACAAGGTCTGCTAAGCCAACAGATAAAAAAAAATAATATTAGTCAAAACAAAAGTACCCATTAGAGGTGGATTATTATGCTGGCAATCATTTCATTTCTGAAATGTTAAAAACCACATAATAAATTCATAGAAAAGCAAAAGAAACAAATAAACTAAACATTAAAAACAACCATGAAATTATCACTTAATTTCCAAAGCTCAATAAAATACATATATATTTTATAATGGTTCAATAAACAGATTATATTTATGATGTGTTAATTATGGATTTAAACATTTCAATTTAATGAAAAATATTCTCAAACATTGGTGGAAGATGCATTAATTATTATTTAGGATTGGTGAGGGAATAAGCCAAGTAATAATATTGAAGATCATATGCAACAGACCATTAAATTGAATCAAATCGATTGGGCTAAAAAAAATACTAACTAGGAGAATAATATTTAACTATCTAAAAAGCAGCATATATTTTTATAGAATAGGTAATAATTAATGTAATGCTTTATTGAAAAGAAATAATGAATAAAATACCTCCAATCATATAATATTCATATTGAATTCACAATTTTTGTGGAATTGAATGTTGGAGGTTTTATCCTGAGATGAGAGCCCTCTCTGCCCTTTATGAGCTGCACCACAGCCAATGGCAGATTTGTTGGTCCTTTACCATCAAAATTTACATGCATGTACTAACATATTCAAGAGGGTTCCGACAATATTTTGTTCATATACATATGCGGTTTTCATAAATGCTATCGTTGGTATTATTTAATACTGTTGCCCAAATGCAAGACCAAGACGAGTTTTGATTTAATTAGAGTAAGATTCTTTGATGAACTAAAGCATAACATTAACGGCATTAACATTAATACTAAGAAACGGGCAAGTTAGTAATCATTGAAATCGATATGAATTATTCTATACACTATAACGTTGCAAGAAGTGATAATCGTATAGAATACAGTGATGCAAAAATTGAAATTTGTATATATAAGAGCATTTAAACAAATAAAAATACCCACAATGAATTGTAAATAAATATGGCATGAATAATTTTTACTTTCATTTCCCCTTTGTCTGCAAATACTTATTTCTGCTAAGAGGGTGGTAAGTGAAAGTCGTGTGATGAGCACAAAAGATTTTTTTTCTGTTTATGGGAAAGCAGATTTCTTAATAGATCTACGTCGATCTTAGATTGTAGATTTTAAATATAAAATCCTATAGGATTTTATTTCTTTTTTGATTTATTTTACACTAAAATATAAGTAGTTTTTTCAATTTTACACTAAAGTTGAACTTTTTTTTTGTTTGCAGTTTTGTATAAAAATATAACTGTCCAGCAATTCTGCAAAAAAAAAAAAAGATTTATTCTGGGGTTGTAACAAAATACCAAATTCATTGTTTATTTTACTATTTATTTTTTTAAAGACAATTATCTATTCTTACAGTTATAGATTTAAGTTCGTAGAAGTAGTCTAATGACTTTAAACACATCTCACTACAAGCTTGCACTATTCAATTGTTAGTTATAAAACCAGAAGTTGTACTAAAGTGGGCAAGTTTTTAAATTCAGCTCTGATAGCTTGAAGTGAAAGTAAAAATTATTCATGCCATATTTATTTACAATTCATTGTGGGTTTTTTTATTTGTTTAAATGCTCTTATATATACAAATTTTAATTTTTACATCACTGTATTCTATACAATTATCACTTCTTGCAACGTTACAGTGTATTGAATAATTCACATTGATTTCAATGATTACTAAATTGCCCGTTTCTTAGTGTTAATGTTAATGCCGTTAACTTGCTTTAGTTCATCAAAGAATCTTACTCTAATTAAATCAAAACTCGTCTTGGTCTTGCATTTGGGCAACAGTATTAAATAATACCATCGATAGCATTTATGAAAACCGCATATGTATATGAACAAAATATTGTCGGAATCCTTATTATATGAAGCTCATGTTACGTATGGAAGCCCATTGTAATCTTTCGGACAAGCTCATATTCCTTTGATTCCTCTATTACAACTATTGTCTGTTACAATTTCTTATTTCTCCTTTAGTTAATTATCAAATTCTTTCATATTTTATTTTAACTATTTTTTATATCAAAGATTAATATAAAATGGTTAATTATTTCAAATAAAAAAAAAATTAAGGTACTTTATAGGAAGCCAATATTGAAAATTAACCATTTAAGCCCTGATAGAGAACATCTTTAATATTTTATATTAAAAACTGCTTAATAATACACTGATATACTGAGTTTAATCAAAATCGTTAGAGCTGTTTTTGAGAAAATCATAAAAATGTGTTAAATTGATTATCTAAAGTACCATTTCCGGTTTGCTGATTTTGACGAAAATTGCTGTAACATCGAAAGCTTAAATAAACCTTAAATATGCAATTTAACTTTCATACAACTTTTCGTTTTTGAACTAGACTGATAACATATATTCACAGACACACACACTCATTTTGCGGGACTTGGTTATTTGGACTCAGAAGACCTCAAAACATGTATTTCTGTTGAAAACTCAGACTCGAAAATTTTCACCATCACAATGCTTACCCTTACTATATATTGCATATGCGAGCTGAAACATCGTTAATTAGATGTGTAGTCATTAAGTTGACATAATTTAAAAATTGGTGTAAAATTGGCTGATAATAAATAAACTTGGATAAAACCTTATTTTTTCTTAGCAATTGAATGATATATGAATTTTAAATTGTTTTTAATAATTGATGCATAAATACTTAATGATTTTTAGATATTGGTGCACAGGAAGAAGTTAACAAGAAATTGCTTTCTGGAAGTGTTTATATTGATCGCCTTGAACACTTGAATTTGATGTGCAGACATTTCAATCATTCTGAGCCTGATGATTTTAATACACTAATAGAAAATCGGTATCTTTTGGATCATATTGTTGTTGATACAAAACACCAGCTCCTGTATTGTTATGTACCTAAGGTAATGGTAAACTAATAAATAGTAAGAGTCTTATAATAATATATAATGGCAACCTATATTGTTCTGTAATGTGAGCAATTTATGGGAAATTTTCATGATAGAATTTTAATAATTTTTACTAGAATTTGAATAAAATATTCTTAGTACTTATATATATATATATATATATATATATACTGAATTTAAGGTGGTTTTCATTACATTTTTGAAAATTTAAAACTTCCCTTGGAAAAAAAAAATCAATTATGGCTATTTGATGAATATATATATATATGTACAGGGTTTCCCATAAGTAGAGGGAAATATTTAAAAGGTTGATAGTAGGCATCAAGATCTACAAAAAAATTCATATAAACAGTTGTCCAATTGCCAGTAGAAAAATCTAGTGCAGGCAACACACTACTTTCACTTACCGCTCAACTTTGAATAGAAATTATTTTCTGGCCATGTTTGGCTATTATAAAATTTTTGAATTGCATTTTTAACTAAGCTAAAGCTAAAAGATTGAAGCTGACAAATCATAATACCAGTAAAATAACAAAAGTCCTATTTATTATATCACTGGTTGATTATGGGTTATACGATTCGTTTATTATGGATTGTATGATCCGTTGATTATGGATTATACGACTATTAGTTATTAAACTGTTATTTTCCATTGCAAAGTTTACTGAAACGGAATAGAGAGATTTGCATTGTCTGTCAAAGACAGGTCAAAAGTTGTCACACTGATTGTAAATGGATTCTGTTGGAATATCACAAAGGGAAACTTTATCAAATTATTCACTAATTTAATTTTCTACAAGGTTACATAATGATTTTTCGGAATAATTGGACGATAGATGTCAAATATATTTAAGGTTATAAACGTGTCCATGAAATATTTTTATATTTCACTTCTTCTTTCAAACAAGTACAATGAAATAGTATCTTAAACAATGTCATTGCCTTGAATCCATGGGATTCAAATACTTTTTCAAACTTTAAAAATTTTTTAAAAGTTTACATTTGGTAAGAAAATTTCATTTAATTTCTCTGGAAACATATTATTTACATTTGTTTCGCTACTCTTCGTTACCTTCTACAACTTTCTATATTAGACATTGTTTTTTTCTAAAATTCTCCACTTTCCAATGGTATATAATACATATACCTTCTGACCAGTATTTCCGGAGATTAATTTTCGACCTGGCTAAGTATTTTTATTTTTTCTCCATTATTTAATTATCAAATTCTTCTAAAAGTTATATTTAGCATTTTTTTCGTTACTTTTAATAGTGAGAGATAGTTGATTATTTAAAATAAACCATATTATAGGTACTTTAGAGGAAGACCCATATGAACATTTGTCATTTAAGCCCTGTAAAGTGATATCAACGGGGATAAGACCTCAATACTATTAAAGACCACTTAATTATACAATGATACACCGAGTTTAATCAAAATCGTTAGAGCGTTTTTGAGAAAATTGTAAAAATGTGTTTCAGTCGTTGATATAAAGTTGGCACTTCGGTTAGCCGATTTTAAGGAAAAAGTTGCCAGGACATCTAAGGCATATATCTATCTTAAATATGTAATATCAGTTTCGTACGTCTTTTCGGTTTCGAGCTAGAGGGTTCACATACACACAGACACACAGACCATTTTTCGGGACTTGGTTATTTGGACTCAAGGGACCTCAAAACGTGTATTTCCATTGAAAATTCAGATTGAAAAATTTTCACGATCCCAATACTTACTCTTACTATATACTACATATATAGGTAAGTGAAAGTAAAAATAGGAAATTTAAGATTTTTGTTTTTTTAAGTGAGTCAAGATTTTAATCAGGTTTCAGATACTGAAATTATGTGATAAAAATTGTCAAGGAAATGTTTCTGAAATTCATTGTAGTATGCTGTAAGAAATTGTGCATTGATGTGACAGGAATTCAGATATTAGTCTTGACTGAAGAGTTGAGAAATAGAATTTTGGAAAAAATGATCGAGGATGAAAGATAGGATATAACATGTTTTAAACACAATATTAAGTTTAGAAATAAAAAAGAACAATGCGAACATAAAATAAACTTTGAAATGAAAAAAATAAATTTTCTGTATTTCGAAATAAATATTCAGTTAAGATTCATTTATAACATAAATATCCTCTTGTTCTAGATAAATTAATAAAGATTGGCAAATAATCAAGTAAAATTTTAAATAATTTGTACAATGATAGAAAAAGCTGATGAAAATTAAAATAAAATTTTTTCTGATAAGAAAAAATGTATGCCAAAATAAAAAAGCTACATTTATACAAAAATAAAAAAGCTGGAAATAAAAAAAATTATGATAAAAATATTTCTAACAAGAAAAAATAAATTAGCTGTAAACTCAAGGTAACTTATGTACAACGTTTAACTGAAAACGTCCAGATCACTTGGTTTTCCTATAATTACTACTGGGTATCTATCTGACTATCTGCAGCGAATTTTACCTCCACTGAACCAGACATATTTTAGTTTTGCAATCACCCTCTTCTGCCTGACTGACCAATAAAGGTGTTTATTGGCAGGCATCATGGTTTCACTCACATAAACACTGGGCGAGTTGTTCTCCCCCCAGCCTGGATGGCGTGTAGAGAAATCTCTCTTTGCTCTTCGCTGCTGCACTAGCCCAACTCTCACCGCTTGTCTGATGAATCTTACAATAATTTTTTTGATAGCTTCAATTATTTTCATGAAAACATAAATATTAGGGTTAGAAACATTAGTTTGTCACTTATAAATACACATTAATTCCTATGACAGAAATCTAGGAGAAAAACATAATTTCATAAACACTGTACATGAAAAATCATTGTTTTTAAATTTTTTATATTTCTAAATAAAATATGTTTTTAGGCAATTATGTTTATTAAAATATATCCCATATCATGGAAAAAACAAGAACTAAAAGCTTTTCAACAGTTAATTGTAGTCATTTTTGCAGAAAATATGGGTATTTTAAAGTGACTGGATAAGAAATCACATCATTTCTTTAAACATCTTAAGGTGATTCTCAAAATATTTCCGAATAAACCTCAACCTAATTAATATGGACTTATAACTTATCAAATGAGGGTCTTCTTAAAGGGGGTCAATATAGTACAGTAAAAGCGTGATAAAAAAAAATCACAAATAATTTATGAATTTTATTTAACGGAACTTAGCTGTGTTTGCTTGTCCAATAGTCCTCTTTAAATAGTTTTAACTCTACTTCCGTTTAAAGTAAATTTTGTCTAGTTTACTATTGAGAAATGTTTAATTACTTTAAAATATTTTTTAATTTATCGCTTCCTGTTTAAGAACAACCATGATGCTTAAAAAAACACAAATCTTAAATTTCCTACTTTTCTGCTGGAAATAGGGTAATTGTTAATATGAACATTTTTGTAGATCTTGGTGTCCTCTATCAACCTTTTAATATTTCCCTCTACTCCTGTGTATATATATATATATATATTTTAACATGTAGGAGTAGGGAACTAAGTGGAATTACACAAAAGATAAACTATATTTTAGACTAAGCCATTTAAACAAACTCCTCACTCTGAACTGGGACAAACTACACTGCAATATTTTAAAAATTGGTAAAGTTGAACCATTTAGAGTTATAATTCATAATAACTATCATAGTATAACATTGAATTGACATATATTGCTACAAGAGTTTTTTAAAACTTTATTCTTACCTTTTTTATTTTATTGTCACTGATGAAGACCTATAATGTGTTGTCCAAAGTAGTGGTACATTGACTTCTTTCTTTCTTGAGTACCCTGAGGGATACATTATGGCTGAATAATAATTTTAATCTGTGGACAAGACCTAGTAGACCTATATATTATTATTTATTTGGTTTAGTATAAAATAAGTAATTTTTCATGCAAATATTATTGTCTTTCCTTGGCCCCCATTTTGTTGTCAAGTAGCTATAAGATACTAGATAAACATATTTCATTCCAGCTCTGTGGACATGGTCATTCTGTATGACTAAACCATATTATACAATAAGTCATATTCTTTGCCATGGGTTCTGTGACTATATGGTTGCCTGAATTCTCCACCTCTTCCTATTTTATGCTACTTCTTTTCAGTTTTTTGCTTACAGTTCTGCTGAATATTTGTTGATTCTATCTACCCATCTGGTTTTTGGCCTTTTTTACCGTAGACTGCTTTTAGTTGCATGTCCTATCTCAGTCTCCTTCCCTTCTAATCATGAGATATAGATTGGCCAGTTTCTGTCTTGTTTTTATTTGACTTTCTCCTCTATGCATTGATAATCTAATTCCAGTTATTGTGTGGTGGATTTCCTCTCAAATCTTTTAATTCTTTGGTCTAGGATACTTATTAGTTCCTTTTTCAGATATATTTAAGAAACGTTATAGCATTCCAAGAACTGTAGGGTTAGTAACATTGCTTAAGAAAATATTTAAATATTTAAGAAAATTAGTGCGGAGGAATTTTCTCTCAAATCTTTCAATACTTTTTCCTAGGATGCTGGTTAGTTTCCTTATCTCACAGTCATGTATTAGAGCTGGCTTTATCATAGCATTGTACATCCTTAATTTGAGATTTTTCGTGATTTCAATACCTTTGAAAGGGAGAAAGTATTGAATTCTGTTTGCGCTTGTTATACACTGATCTATTTCTGACTGTTTGTCAATCATTTAGGTTATTGTGGAGCCATGGTATTTGAATTTTAATACTCTCAGGAACCATTTCCCTTTTACGCAGATCCTGTTATTGGACTGGAATTTTTGGCTTATCATGTATTTTGTTTTGTCTTCATTTACTTGTGGGCCGATTCGCTCTTCTTAGCAGGTTTTTCAATGTCCTCTTGATTACTTCCAAGGACAGCTTATCATCTGCATATCCAAACAAAACCTTTTTATTAAAATAAATAAATATCTTCCTTTACTCAATTTACAAGTGAAAAGAGTGCGTTCTTGTATATTTTAATACATATATGTTTGTTTATGTAGCTACTTTATTTAATGTTTAATTGTAATTTTAATTTTATATAATGTATCAAATCTTTCGGCCAAAATTAATTTTTTTTTGTACGATGTGTTATTCTCACTGGACTTCTATTCTATATACAAACAAATAATAATATTAAATTTTTGAAAACTCATCTTGTTTTCTATTATGAATTGCTTTGAACTAATGTTTAGTAAATATTGTTTAAATCATTTGATTTTGTAAACTTAATTTAATTAGTTTTAGAAGTAATAAATATTTTATTTGTGAACTCACTATTGCTTCCTTGCTATCAAAGGAAGGGAGGCTTTTTATATTTAACTTTTAAATGAACAATACTATAATTCTGCTAAATAAAATTATTTCTTGAAATCTTTGGGGATATGAAATAAGAGAAATGTTGCTTGCTGTCCAAAATACATCTAGCTCCTGGTGATGTCATAAAAACCTTAGCTTCTTGCTGAGGATTAATGATATTTGGTAACATAATTGATAATGATTGTTTAACTTGTGAGGTACCTCATTTCTCTTTTAGTGATCAATTGACTACAGCTTAGTGAAAATATTATATTTTAAGAAAATATTTATATTTTCATGTTTTATTTTATTTTGTTTAGGTTGCTTGTACAAATTGGAAAAGACTGTTCATGATCCTCACTGGAGCTACTAATACAACAAATGTTCTCTCCATTCCTGCAACTAAAGCTCATAACAGGCTCTCTCTTTTAACTTTGAGCAATTTTACTTATACAGAAATCAAGTACTTATTGAGTACTTACACTAAATTTCTTTTTGTTAGACATCCTTTTGAGAGACTTCTTTCTGCTTTTAGAAATAAACTAGAATACAAATACAATCGATCCATGTATTTTCACAATCGGTTTGGAAAATATATAGTCAAGAATTACAGAACAAAACCAAATAATGCCTCAAATGGAGATGATGTTACTTTTGCTGAATTCACAGCATATTTAGCCAAATCTGAGAGTGAAGTTTTTAATGAACATTGGAAACCCATACACCATCTTTGTGAACCCTGTCGAATTAAATATCACTTTATTGGAAAATATGAAACTCTATTATCCGATTCAAATTTTATCTTAAAAAGTATTGGTGTATCTGATGTTCGCTTTCCTTTTAATGTAAAAACAGCTTCTACCTCTAATAAATTGAAGAAGTATTTTTCAATGCTATCTCCTAGTCGAATAAAAGATTTATATAATATTTATGAAATTGACTTTAAATTATTTCAATACAATTTACAAGATTTGCTCGGCTATGAAGTTGGATAGAAAAGTTGAATATTGATGGTAATTAGTAGCCAGACCTTGTAGTCTTTGCATATTAGTCATAATTTAAGGAACCAAAGGGTTAGTCTAAAGGGATTAAAAAGGAAATTGAAAGACTATAGATTTCTCATAGAGGGTATTTATTATTACAATCTGTGATTCAAAGAATTTTTTTCTGAGGAACTATTTTCATATAGTAGTTAGATGCTTTAGTTATTTGTTATATTTTTGATTTGTCAACCGACAAGGCCCCTTAAACATCTTCTTTTAGCAATTATTTTGTTTTATTATATTGTTTCCCACATTCCCATAAATTGTCGATCTATTTCCATGAATCTCAGTTTTTGGGTGCCTTTCGTTAGTTCTAATTATTATTTTTATTATACAATAATACAGTTTAGGCAAGATAATTTCTATTATAATTCTTATTTCAAATATTTGTTTCTTAAATTACAAAAATGTTTGCCAAGTAGGTAAGTATTGGTTTCTCACCATTTTTTTGGCTTGAAATTATTGATATATCTTTATACCATCAGACTCCATTATTGTTTCTATATAGATCTGTAATTATGATAGGTTTCAAAAAATGAAGCTACCCATATGAATGCTTTGCATTTTTATTTTACTTAACGTGCTATTAATTTTCTTTTTTTTTTTGTCCCATGTTATTATTAGTGAAAAGACAGTCAATGGGTCACTGATTTTAGTTAAATTTTTAAGGAAGGAGATGGTTTTGCCACAATTTAACCTATTTATGACCGCCACCCCGGACCATCTCCTTCCTTAATAATACAACGGTCAACTATTAAGTATTCAATAGTTAAATTTTTATTGGTGCTTCTCTATCGAACAATACTGGACACATATCCCAGTGTTCATTCCATCTCAATGTGCTGCAGGAACCCCTCCCTGTAGCTGCTCAACACGGAGAAGTTAGGACTTTACCCAATGATTTGGTCACATCCAATCACTTGTGGACACACTTGGCCATTCTCAGTATTCCATTTCTGGTGTGATCATGAGATCTTGTGCCTCCCTTCAAAGTGGAGTGATACTTTTACAGTAGTTAACTAACCCCAAATGGGCCCTTTTTTGTTGATATTGTAGCCTTAATTAACTTCACATAGATCTCAATATTCAATTTCCACTGCCTACACTCAAAGAGATAAACAAACCTTCAATAAGTCATATTCAGTTGATGTTAGTACCTTACCAAGGGGATTGATAGCCTTCCAGAATCCTATCAACATTGGGAACAATTTTGTCTTTGCCCAGCTGTCCATTCTGAGTATTCCATTTATCGTATGATCATGAGACCTTGTGCCACTCATGAAAGTGGAGTGACACTTGTATAGTAATACCCAAAAGATATAAACAAACCCCAAACAGTGGCGGATCCAGGAATTTTCTCAGGGGGTGCGCACGCACCTCTGTACCAGTGCTTCCCCCACCACTATCCTGTCCCCCCACCACTACCAATCTCCCCCCACTTCTTAGTGAGTTTAGCCACTAAAAAGTCCTCTTTAAATGGTTTTAACATAAGAAAACTATATTTTTATTTAAAGTAAATTTTTTTAATTTTATAGTGAAGCAACCGCTAATTATGTTATTAAATAGTTTTTTGTTATCACTTCCTATTCAATAAAAAACGTGGCTTACATCAAAAATCACAAAACTTTAATTCCCTACTTTTCTGCTGAAAATCAAACCATTGTTTATATAAACTTTTTGTATTTATTGAGTTCTGCTATCACTCCTTTAAATAATTCCCTCTACTTATGGGACACCCTTTGTATGGGTTTAGACATGTAAAAAACTAAATTCTGACACTGGTCACCAAGAGAAAACTTTTTACAGCCAAAAGATCATGATTTATCTGATCTTTTTTCTTCATGTATTACTACTAAACAGTGCATCAAAGCAAAAAATGTATTCTTTAAGAAATTATAGAATGACTAATTGTGCGTCGAACGAGTACCTAAACTTAATAACTTCATTAAGTGATATGGTCGATTACCACTGTCAATGAACGCTAATTTTTAGGGACAGTTTAAAATATGCTATGATATAACAGTTTTAAATATGTTGAACTTTAAATAGTCAATAAGTTAAAACTGACCTACTAGGAAAAAGTTCCTTCCTAGTAAGCCAGTTTTAATGTATTGATGGGATTTGTCAACTATCCGTTATGACACTTCTCTGCAAATGTTTTACTAAACATCCTCTCACGAATCGTATTAAATTCGTGGAATCTGTGTAAAATACATTTTTATTTTTTTATTGAGTATTAATACAGTCTGCCACACTCCACACTGTTATATAGTTATACTGTTATATAGCTATTATATCTTACATTGTTACTTCAAGTAAATAATTTCATGGAACATTATGTGAAAAATGATAAAACAAATTAATTCACTTAAAAATGTTGTAATTCTAATATATAGTTAATAGTTACATTTCAACAAATTTCATTTAGTAAAACCAAATGTAGAAAACTAATAATTTATCACAAGTATCTAAGTCATAAATTGAAGATGATACAAGCTCCAATTCATAGAATTCCAAGGTTCATTGCTTTATTTCTACCTCATTCTTAAGTCTTAAAAATGTTTTTCTGTTTAATTCTATAAAAAGCTTTAGTCACGTCCACAAAACAGTCAGTTCTGTCATTGCCTTTTCTTGATTACTGTTTTTTTTTTCATTTTATAATTTTTTTTGGGATCAGACAATAGTATAGTCACAATAAAAGTGAAAATAAGTTTTAGTAAATTTTATTTCTATATTATTTTGTATTGAAGAATTATAATAATTTATTTTGGGTGATGTTAAGTAATTTCTTCTGGTATACTTTTTCTGTATTGAAGTAAATTAAATTATGGATGCTTCTATAACCTTAGAAAGCATATTAACTTATTATTTTTACATTTACATAATGATGGAAGAATTAAATATTTGATTAATATTAACATTTTTTGCAGTATTTCTACCTCTTTGTATTTCTGCTCAATATCTTTATGGTTTTTTTATTGTCAATCTCATATTAAACATTTAAGATTCAATTGGTTATATATATATATATATATATATATATATATATATATATATATACATATATATATACACACACACTTACACACACACACACACACACACTAGTCTATTATTGTATTATTGTTTTTATTTTCATAAATAAAAATTGTATTTTTACATAATATAACTTATTGCATACTAAATTATATATATGAAGTTCACAAAAATTGTGGTATAATTTATTGTTTTAATAAAAATAAAAATTGTTAATATTACTCTAATACAGCATCATATCCTTTATCCTCTACTTAGTTTTGTTTAATTTATAAAGTTATAATTTTAGGGTGCAATTATTTGGTATTATTGTATTTGATTGTTGTCTATCCTGTGTGACTTCACTGTAAACTTTATCTTCTTTATCTTAAAGACAACTGAGTATAGTTAATTAATGACATTTTTCATTAATTACTTAATTTAATAGCATATATATATATATACAAATGTTTATTTTAAACATTGTAAGTAAGGTACTGCATTATTTTGTGTTACTGTTTAATATTATTACTAAAACTCAAATTTTTCTTTGTCTGTTGATAACTGCTGATAGTTTGGTTTGGAAGTGTTTATTTATATCTGTGATATTTTAAAATAATTGTAAGGAATCGAATAATTTTTTAAGTTATCTGTTTTGAAAATTTATTTATTCACACACACACACACACACATATGTATATATTAATGTTGAATTTGCTCCAGCTACTTTTTTATTCATAATTATTTTATCTATCCTTTTGTACATTTTTTAATTTTCATTATTTTTCATAGTTAAAATGAATCATGTAATGTATATTCTGTAATATATATGATTAGTATTACAGTGAAGCAGTTATTTTAATATTTATAATTGTATTTCTGACCAATTAATTATATGTTTCATGTTTCTTTAAAAGTTTTTATAAGATGTTGATATGTTGAATTTATTTAAGTTAGTTTTTTAGAATTTTTATTGCAACACTTAGTAAATTGTGATATTATTGTTAAATATATAGTTAATTTGATTTCATGTTCGAATTGTTATTAGATGCACAATTTTGAAGTGCAATCTGTTATTATTAAATAAATTGATAGTTGATCAATATTTTTGTATAAAGTCTTTATTTTTATATTTTTCATTTTTAAAAAAAAATATATATATAAAATGTTAAAAAATATATTGAAATAATTAAGAATGTCACTGATCCCATCTCCCCATTTGTGTATGCTAATTATACAAATTATTTTGGATTTTTTTGTTCATATTGTCATGATTATAATTATTTATAGGCTAATGACTATTTAGTTTAAATTAGGAAGTCTTTGTTTACCATCATCCTAAGTATAATGGTTTCATGGGAAATTACAATCCAATGTTTTTTTTTTTATTCCTTTTAGTTATAAATCCACACTAGTTGCGATGTAAAATCCCAGAAAACTGAACCAAGCTGTGTAGTTCTGTAGATGCCTGGTGATAATTGTTCACCTTATGCATCAGAGAAAAAGTGGGACATCTTGAGCATTTATTGTAATTAACTTTTTTTTGCATACAATTTTTTGTATAGTTAACCAATGGTATCGTCTGATAATAAGTAATAATTAATTAATTGATTCAAGAACTGATTAGGAGGATTAAAATGTTTAAAAGTCCTGATCATGGTTTTGTCCCAAGTATTGGTATCAAGGAAATGTGATTTAATTTGTAAACTTGCAATAGTTGCCCAGGCTACTATAATCATTCTTCATATACTGCTCTTGCAGTGTGAAGTGACTTTCTGCACATCCTGGATCAATAAACTAGTTATTTATGCTTTTAGAAGTATTTTAAAAATATTTCGCTCAATTACATGAAAAATTGATCAATTATGTAATTTTTATACTACAACTATGCTAGGAAAAGTATCATAACCAGATAGAATTTCAGGTGCGCATTTTTCAACAAATGTTTATTAATTTACCACAGCTGCTAGGTGAGAAAATCATAAGTGAAGAATTCAGGAGGATGAGGGGGGCGATCGCCCCTCCCCAATAAAAATAGAAAGGGGGCAAGAATATTTTTTCAGCTCCCTCCCCCAATATTTCGAAGAACAAAAATAAAATAAAAATTAATAAAATATAAAACTAAAATCAATTAAGAAAATAGTTAAAAATCGACTAGATGGCTAAGGTATAGCCTGGAAGTAGGCACGCAAGTATTTTACTACAACGAATGTTCCTATTATAGAAATTTTAGTTTATATTCAAAGATAATTAGATGTAGCAACATCTAGCATTTTATGATTCATTCATGTGCACCCTTCCATTTTTACATGAAGATTTTATAACATTTCCTGCGGCAAATTTGAAGCATCAGAAAATTGGGAGTTCATCTCCCT